CAGCTGGGTCGGTTCTGGAGGACCAGTTGTGCTGAGACGTGCAGATGAGTTTGGTTCTCTGGTGCAGATGATTCACGTTTAAGTGATTCTGATGAAGAATCTCAATCTGGAGGTTATTTCAGATGATTTCCATCAAAACCCTGAACACTGAAGATCCATTCTGTGGTTCTAAAGTTAACGTTTTATAAAACACGACCTGCTTCTCAAACCCGCTGCAGCTTTTGGGTTTCAGACGATTAGAGAAGTTCTAACAGAACTACAGGAGGGAGGGTCTCTGGTCACCTGGGTGCCGGTCGTCGAACGGGTCAGGATCTGCTTTGTGGTACTCCGCCGTCTCTCGCTCGATCAGCTCCGAGATCCTGCAGGAGGAGCAGAAAGATGAGAGCCGGTACCGACGGAGAAGCTTCTTCTGTGTCTGAGGAAACCCACCTGGTCAGAACCGACACCAGCTGCTCGGTGCCTCCTCGCTGCGCCACCTCCCACTCGCCCAGCAGCGCCGTCAGATCCTTCTTGGCGTCCGCCGAGGCCGACATGGCGGCCGAGACGGCGGCCAGCAGCGCCGACAGCGAGGCGGGCGACGGCTCTTCGTTCTGGGACGACATGGCGGCCTGGAAGAGAGTTTAGATCCACATGAAGAGCTGGAAACAAACCACCGAACCCTAAACACCTGCAGCAGGTATCAGCACTTCTACTGGACGTGTGGCTGGTTGGAAAAAAGGAGTTTTCAGATGTTTTAAAGTCACACCAGAGGACTGAAGTTCTGCACCTGGAGGCGTGATGCTGTCTGAACACTCATGATGGTGACTTTCAGAAAATCTCACATGAAAACTGAAAGAAAAAGTCGTGTAGAGAACTTTAAAAAGAGAAAGAGACAAACTCTGTCTGCAGTCAGCCGAGCCCTAACGAAGAGGAAATGTCAGTTAATTTACATTTATTCCCTACTTCTGTCTTTAATTCTAGCAGTATTCACAGCAACACAATCATCTGATCATTTATCTCGACCTGGATGAGCAGGAATATAAACAGACATTTAAATATTTAAACTACAAACTGATTAAAGGTGTTGAACAGGTTTAACGTAAAACCTTCAAAAACCAACTTCACAAGATTTAATTAATTCTTGCAGCTTCTTTAAAATGTGTCATTCAGAGGCCAAAAAATATTTATCTCTCATCACATTCCATATCTTATTTTATTTTATTTATTAAATATACACTTTGACAGATCAGTGAAGCAGCTTCTCTGTTGGAATTTATGATATTTTTTCACATTTAATTAATTTATTATTTTTTTAGTTTATCATATTTTTACTGAAGGTATTTTTATTTCTCGCTTTTTCTTTTTCCATTCTGATCCATGGACGTGTTCTGGTCTACTTAGAAGTTCAATATATTTGTATTTATGTGAACATAACTCGTGAATGGTTCACTTGAACAGAATCCGTGTCTTTACTGGTGAACTGAACATCTTTGGGTTGCGGACAAACATTTGTCATCTTTGAGAAACTTTATTACTTACTTTTCCTTTTATTATTGCTCATTTAATTAATTAAGGAACTCATTGATAATCAAGAAAATAATCGACGGTGAAAATAATAATTAATCATTAATTGATATTTAATCATATGAATTAAATGAGCGTAACGCGGCTGGTTGCAGTTCGTGACTCCATGACCGTATTTACCGTCTTTACCGTATTTACTGGGTAAACACTGTAGAACCGGACAGAACAACTCGGTTCTGCTCTTTAATGGTTCCTTTCTGCCGGTTCTTCGTCTCTAAACTCACCGGCGGCTGCCTGCGGGCGGACCGACGCAGCGGCATGTCAGCGGGCTGCTTCTCCAACTCTCCGCGGCTCCGAGCAGCTCCGAGACCAACAGGTGTCCTCGGCTGCGGCCGGCAGCCGCTCGGAGGACACAGTGTGTCGGAGGGGGAGCTTAGCTAGCAGCGCGGGACGGCTAGCGGAGGCGGCGGCGGCTAACCGTGGTCGCCTCCCCCGTTTTCCCCGCATCTTATTAAAGTCCCCCCGCTGCTTCTGGCTCGCTTCACGGTCCGTTAAAACCCGGAACCGCCGCCCGGAGCTCGCAGCGGGCTGGAAGCAGCGTGTTGACAGCCTCATGTCGGACCGGAGCAGGCGGCTTCGGCTAGCGGCTCCACCTGGACTCACCTGAAGCTCGGCCTCCTCCGCTGCGCCGCTCGCTTCCCGTCAGCAGCTCCGGCGGAAAGTCATCAATCAGCTGGAAGTGGCCGATAAAGCTCCAGGAACACGAAGCGTTCAGGGAAGGAAAAAGTTTCACGTTTATTTTCAAACTTCTCCCGGCGACAGCAGGCTACGTCACTGAGCGTCGACGGATGATGACGACACGTGGCGCACTGCCTCATGGGACTTGTAGTTCACAATGTAAACACCGCATTTGTTTTAATTAGGTTACGTTTCAGCCGGTGTTTATCTGTTTGTTTGTTAACAGAGACACAGCTTACAGATCATGTGATTATAGCCGATGTTCGTCTGCAGAGGGATCCATTAGAAGTTTAAGTAAACCGTCTTTACTGATGCTCATCAGAACCAGTGGGAGCACCACCAGGTATGTATGAGCACTACTGGCAGTGTTCAGGATCACTGGATCATCATCACACACAGGAGATGATTTCTTCCAGGAGTTCTCCATCCATGTATCATAGAAGCATCACTGCCTGTGTGAACTTAGCACCTCACAGCAGGAATATAAATGTAGTCCCACCTTTAGAAACCAGAAGAAGAGGTGTACATTCAGACACTGGCTGTCAAGGTCTGAGGTTCTGCACCAGTCTGGGGTTCTGGGGGTTCTGGACCTTCTGGTCCCCCGTTGTTAGAGACATGTCACCATAGGTGCTGCTGCTCCATCAGATGGTCGTTCAGCTCCATCTAGTGGAGCTCTGATGCAGAAGTAACGTACAGATCGAGCGTCCATCACTCCGTCAGCTTGTTATTAATGATATCAGTGTTAACTCAGATGCTAAAGCTATGTTCTGCTTCTCCATGAATCTAACAACGTAGATAAAATAAATGCAGGACTTTAACATCTGTAGGAAGTCACCACATGGTGGAGATGAGCTGCTTGGAGGAGGTCTGAGCTCTCAGAGGGCTTTTCTAGTTCAGTGATGTTTCTCAACAACAAATCGGTTTAAGCAGATATTCAGTAATTACTGATTTTTATCAGCTTTTCTTTCCTACCTTTTAAAGAGAAGTTTGTATTTATTTTATCGTTCATTCATGTTTAGTTCTTATATTTTGTCAAAGGACTGTAGGTTAAAATCAGCCTGACGGCTCATACTTGCACATTTATATAAATTAATGTTTTTGTCTTCAGAATGATCATTTAGTTTGTGAGGTGCAGCAGTCTGAACGAGTTGTCCTGTTTAGCCTCCTCAGTGGGCCAGTTATCTGTTAAAACATGCTGCACAAATACAGACCGGTGGCTTGACTGAAAATCCTTCAATAGCTTTTTGTCAAATTAGTGTTTCCGAGGTCAACAATGAACTTTTCCACTCAGATAAATCTGAACGGGAGAATAACCGGATCATAACACAACACTAACTAAACGGTTAAATCCAGAAGACGTGTGTGCAGCTGTACGTCTCCACTACTGCTGATTTTTGCAAAACAAAGATAAAAACACTCCTGAAACAACATCTGCACCAGAGGCTGACAGATGTTTGCTCCCACAATCAGGCGGCAACAACCACAAACGAGTGCAAACAGTTTATTGAGTCTTTTGGACAAAATGCATCCTGCTGCCACCAAGAAAAATACTTTAGTCCATCACTCCAAACGTTTCAGCCGTCTGCAGCTGCTCAGGATGTATTTACACGAAGCACATTTACACCAGTCGTATCAAAAGCCAGCACAGAAGAGCTGCCCGTCCGGTTCCACTCCAGTGTTTTCCTGGATGCTCTGAAACGGGCCACGGAACCGCAGACGTAAAGACAAGAACAGCATTAGTTCTAGGTTACTCAGATGTAGAGCTGCAACACTTGGAGGTTAATCAATCAGTTTCCTCTTGAATCTCCACACGTTAAACTGAGCTGCATGTCTTTAGTGTGACAGAACCTGTCACGGCATCACTTTGGGCTGAGACCTGACGGAGGGACTTTAGAAACAAACCAACTGAGAATAGAAACGGCAGATTCATCAGTTATAAAAATAATCGATTCCTTTGTTATCGATCCTCCGCTGCAGGGAGGGTTTCTCCCAGACGGGTCGACTAGTGGGTCTTCAGTTTGTCCCCGAACAGCGTCATCAGCAGTCCGTACAGGAAGCCGCCGGCGAGGATGAGCGCCGTGCTGGAGGCGGGGCCGAAGCACAGCAGCGCCCCCAGCGCGTAGAGCAGCAGCAGCAGCAGCAGGGTCCGGTAGCTGGCCAGCGGCCGGAGACTCAGCCTCGGCCGCCGGCTCTTCTCCACCGTCTGCCGCGACATCGGGCTCTGCTTCAGTCTGGAGTTGGACTCGGGATCCGTCAGGTAGTGGCGGCCGAGGCGACCCAGGAAGTCCGGACGCGAGCAGAGGGCCTCCATGTGACCTCCGAACTGTAGAGAGCAGAGAGAAGAAGAAGACATCACCACAAGTCCTGTAACATCTCCACAAGTCCAGCAGCAACTTCCACAAACCTTAAGATTTGTTTCCTGAACACTTTTCAGCGTCATCATGCTCCTAAATCTGAGCACTCAGCTCAACGTAGGGAAAAGAAAACACAACTAAAGGCACAAAAACACTATTTTCAACGATCGATCGGGACCACGATGCTGATCACTATCATTCTGATCAATAATCCTGGATCCACCAGGACACAAACAGCCCTCATACATGCTAATATTTCTCAGTGGCTTCTAACAGCAGCAGACATTATGAGGTCCAACACCTGTGCCCTCACCCTGTCGTTGAGCAGAGAGGAGATCTGGTAGAACAGCCTGACCAGCAGGGCGTTCTCGTAGCTCCTGATGGGCTGCAGCTCCGGGTCTCCTTGGTACTGGACGTCAAACCTGCGCAGCCCGTTTATGATCTGCAGAAACACACAACCACAGTTGAGCTGATCCTTGGCTCTGCTGCGTGACGTCCCACTTCAGGACCAAACACCCACCTGTCTCCGGCCCAGGTCGGTCAGGATGAGTCCGTTCTCGCTCTGGATGCAGTCAGGCAGCTGTTTGCAGTTTCCGTCGTCCTGAGAGGAGCCCAGGTTGGATATGAGCTGAGTCAGCTGGCCCTGGTTCAGCTGCAGGACAAGATCAACACACTGAGTCAACCTGTGTTTAAAACTGGACCATTTAAAGACATTGTGTTCACTAATCTGACCTTGAAGATTTGACACAGGTTCTCCAGAGCTCTGTCCAGGAACTCGTGGGTCTTCTTCAGACACTCTCCGCTCTCCTCCGGCTCGGCGCCTGGAAACGTGTTGTTGAGCTCAGAGGAGCCGAGTCCGAACCAGGACAGGAAGGAGTTGTTGGCCGCCACCTCGCTGGAGTGGTCCGATATCCTCTTGGCCGTCTGTCTGGCTTGTGCGATGATCTGGATCAACTTCATGATCTGCAGGACGAGCAGAGGAACTGAGACCTGGACCGAGACGGCAGAAGTACGATGAAGCTCTAGTTAATAGACTCACTGCTCCTCTGAGCTCGGTGCCAAACATCTGCTTGTACTGACAGTCCTGGCCCTCCAGCGAGTAGACGTGACTCTTCACCCTGAACACCATGTCCGTCACCACTCGCTGCCGTGACGACAGGTAGCTGCCTCCCTGGCCCGGCGTCAGGTAGCCGCGGGGCTGCCGGTGGTGGAGGACGTGTTCGGGCTCCAGAAACAGCTGCTCTCCTGCACAAAGAGGGTCGACGTACACAACATTCAACCTCCACAGAAATGACGCGGCAGCAGATAACAACGGTCTCACAAGTCGTGGTCTACGGCTTCGGTCTGCACCTTTCTGGATCATTTCTGCCAGGTTTGGCTGAGCGAAGACTTTGGCCACCCTGAACACCATCAGGGCGTTTTTGGCGTTGACCAGATCGGTCCGTACGGCTCGGTTTAGAAACACCTGGAACAGCTTTGTGTACATGAGCAGGTTCTCCTGGACGAAGGACTCCCTGCAGGAGAGCAAAGTGGCATCAGCAACAGGGTCTACGTAACACCTGGACTAATCATTGAGCAGACTGCGTTTGTAAGGAAAAGACAAAGCCAGCAGACCCACCACTTGTCAGGTACGGTTCTGTTTTCCGTTCTGCTCTGTTCGGGCTGGGCGTTGGTCTTCTCTCCGGTGTACCTCCACGGCTGGATGTAGCTCAGCCACGTCTCCAACACCTGAACAGAGGCGACACAGTCCCTCATGAAACTACATGATGACTCTGAGGCTGCTCTTTAAGTCAGACTTGTGTAAAATTAAAACCTCTAACTCCTGAAGTTCAGCCTGTAACAGCGCGTTAACTGGTTTTCTGGTTATGTCTGAGCAGATACTGGTGTAATTACAGGTCTTGTGCTTCATGAGCAGCCTTGTTTCAGCCATCAGATCAAAGTATTTCTCTGGTAGAATATCAGTTGGACTGTGTAACAACATTCATGAATCCACCGAACACACGTCGTCCTTATTGGACATCTGGTGGAGAATGTGGCCGCTGTGGTCTCAGCATCGTGGACCGTTCTGTTAAAGCTCCACACATGATCTTTGTCTAACAGAGAAACGCAGCCCGACCCGGTCTCTCAGCACAGCGTGAGCCACATGCATTCACTGAAAGCTAAGCGTAGCTCCGGTGAGTCGTACCGCTCTGAAGGAGGCGTCCAGAGGCCAGTGGCCGAAGCAGTGCTGGAGGAACAGGTAGAGCTTCTGCTGCACAAAGCGCTGCACCACCACTCTACAGGGGGAACAGAGAAGGTACATGGAAATAACATCAGAAATCACACGACAGTAATGTCTTCAAACTGAGGTATATTTAAATACACACTTCCTGCTTTTGCTGTGTTGTCCTTTCAACAGAGGGCTGCAGAGCTAAATTCAATTAATTAAAGAATCACCCCGAATACCAACAGCAGATTTACTGATAAGTTGAGCCACTCAGTCAGAAGCTCCTTAACTCTGCATTAATCCTAGCTCCACCCCTTCTACATGCTTATGGTTTGTATTTATATACTTTTTTATCATCGTTTTTTTCTTGCATCCTAACTTGGTCCTCTACCAGCACCATTATTATTAGCTGTGCTGCTCTATCAGCTTTGAAGCTCACTCATTAATATTCCTCAGGTTCATTCCTCTAAACTCTTCCGACTTTCTGCCCCTGACTTGTCCTTCAGCACTGATAAAACCCAAACGAGTCATATGACAAACGTGCAGCTCCATCGAGAACGGCGTCTTTTGGTGGTGATTTGTTTTTACAAAATTCATATAAAAACTGTGTTTAAACTGAAATGGATGTGAAGCCAAACCCAGCCGTCTTTAGAAATCTGTAGAGACTTTATTCAAAGTTTAAACAGGTCAAAAGGTTTCGAGTATCGTTCCTCTAAATCAGTGTTTTATGGTTTTCAGGCAGTCGCTGTTTAAAGTTTTGTGAATTTCTTTAAAAATCCAGATCTTTCCTTCAGCTACAGCAGGACACACCAACTGGCACAATATGTACAGGTTCTATCTATCTGATGCTAGCGGTGCCTCCGTATTAGCATCTAGCAGCTTTAAGTGACCGCTCAGCCCAACGCTGGAGACCAGAAAGAAGCCACGCTGGCCATAAAGAGCAGGACAACGCCTCATGATTGGATGAATGTGGGGTGTAAACCTCTTGAACTCCTCCAGAGGGCTGGTGTGGGTGTGGGAGTGGGCCGACGGCGAGGACGACAGCTGCTCCGGCTTCAGGCTGTTGGAGAAGGCGTGCAGATGTTTGACCAGGAGCCGGACCACCAGCACGTGCTCCTCCGTCGGGCTGAAGGGCTCCTGGAAAACAAACCGGTCACCACAGAGCTCGGCAGACCTACAGCACCACCTTCATCATCATCAGCATCAGCATCAGCATCATCATCATCTCAGGCAGCTCCCAGCTTCAACAGGCAGCCAATCACTATGCATCCCAGTCCCAAAGCAGCCAGGAGCGCTTTCTAGAGCACAGAGGTCCCTCACCGACACGTCTGCAGGTCTCCAGATGTGGCTTCAATGTGAGCAGCAACAGACTGCTGCAGATGCTCAACATCAGCTCCAGGTTCATTGGAGCATGTTGTGTGGTCACTTGGTTTATCTGCTCCACGTGAACCAGGTTGATCCAGTATTTCTGGCAGCAGAATCATTTCAGGAGGAAAAAAACAAAACGAGCCCAAATGACTCCATTTACTGCATACAGGAGCTTTTTTTATGCTGATTTTGAATTTGTTTTGGCTCATAAAGCTGCAGCAGATCAGGTACTTCTGGTTCACTGGAGATCTGCTCGTGTGTGAAATGTTCTTTATTTATTCTACTTTCCGGCTCAGGGGGCAGAACCACTAAACAGGGACCTCCAAAGCAACAAATACTCACCTTCATTTAGGACTGTGTTATTTAGATATTTTCATTATGACAGTCTTGGGGATTTCTTAAAATGCAGATTTCCACTTTAACAGACAAACAATTAAAACCAGGACCTCTGTGCTCTAGAACTTGCTCCACCTAAAGCGAAGCTGCTCTGTTTGCTCTTCTGGATAACAAACATCACCTCTGAAGTCGGTTTGTAGATTATTTTAGGCAACAAGTTCTGACAAATCACAGTTTTTCTTCTTCTTCTCTAATGAAGCTTGCTCAGGCTGTAGTAGTATCTTTTGCTTTATAGAAAGAAGCACTCAACCACATGAACAACGAGCACAGCGCAAAATAACAACAACAACAACAACAAAAGCATGCATTAAAAACAAACAAACAAAAAGACAGAACCACACCCAAACCAATTAAAAACATTAATGACTAAACACAAATCAGCCCAAAGCTTTAACTTCCACAGCTTCATTCCTGGATTTCTCGTCAAGGATACTTCTCTGCAGGATCTCACAGTCACAACGGGATTTTTATGTAAAAATAAAGCCGATATATTCAATTAATCCTCAGATTATGAGAGCGAGGAATCAAACAGCGCTGCCTTAATGGAAACGTGGACAATCGCCGTCTTTGAACAGTCAGCTGAGAGTTCATTTAGAAGTCAGCGGATCTAAATTTAGGCTTCATGCTGCACATCTCCAGCCTGCCGTGTTAGAAAAGCTAAGACTCTTCACATGGATGTGCCAAAGCAGGAAGACATGCCAGCTCGTGTCTGGCTGCAGGGAGAGAAGTAGCCTTGACTGAGCTTGAACTGACGGAGCTTTACCTCCAGGAGGAACGGGGGCGAATGAAAAGGTAAAAGTACTTGGTAGGTGTGGAGGGTCCCAGAGCCTGGTGGGGCGTAGGGTTGGTACGGCATGCTGGACATACTGAGGCGGTACTGCAGCAGCGCCAGCTGTTCACCCGCAACCACCAGGAGGGAGAGGAAGATGAGGAAGAGGGAAGACAACGACAGGAGGTGGAGAAGGACGAACGACAGCGGAGACAGGAGGAGGGAGGAAGAGGAGGCAGGAGGAAGGCAGATGTGAGAACAGGAGGCAGCAGCAAGAGGAGAGAGTGCAACCAGACAGGAACAGTCAGGAGGAAACAGGAGCAGAAACAGGAGAGGAGACAAACAGAGATCAGATGTTGGCCGTGGGAACACAACGCTTCAGCCTCCAGGGGGCGACCAAGAGGCTTGTCAAGGTGAAGGAAGGGGTTAATGGAGCAGGGACGGGAGTCGTCGCAGTAACGTCGAGTTAACGTCAGACAGCGTTCAGGAGAAAACATCAAGCAGGGAGTCGGCTGCTTAGTTCAGATCATACAGTCGTCCTCAGATGGATTCATCCCCGTTCATTAAAGAAAAGACAAAACTCACAACAGTCACTCAAATAACTAGAAACTGACAAAAGCAGTTTGCTAAATTATAATTTAGTGAAATAAGACTTTGCAACTGTCCTGGACCAATGAGAGGCCTTTGCTGATGAGCAGTGGTCCAGAACACCTGTCAACAGGTGCACAAGTCTGACTGAGAGTTACAGAAACACCTGATTGGCTCAGAGGGTTGTTCAGCTAGATAGTAGTTCATGGGTCCCATCAGGCTGGTTTGATTGTTTTTCAATATTTCTGTTGAACCACGATTCCAAACCAACGTCATGATGTTCATTACATTTTTACTTATTATTACTTTCGTCAGTTTCAGCTTATTCCAGTGACTACTTTTGTTTTCCTTCTTCAATGGGAGGCTGTGAACACATGTGAGGACGACTGTATGTACAACAGAAGGAGAACAAATACGAGACTCTTAATCTGGAGCAACCACGAGTGGAAAACACTGCATCAACACTCGGGCTGGGCTCCAACATCCAAACTAACAAACTACAACCATACACAGAAAAAGACTTGCTGGGTCTGTCGGATGCAGCGTCCAGAACTAGCTGGACGTCCGACTACAGCAGTCCCACTGGGCAGCGGGTTTCTGTGAAAGTTAAAAACAAGCCTGAAAGACGCACAGAGAGCTGCGATAACTCCCATCCCTGCTGTTTACAACATGAACAGAGCGAACCCAAGACTTTTAACAACTAATATTCAAGTTTCTCTACTGGGACATCACAGGTCAGTCTAGTTGTCGTGTTCTCTCTGAACAGGATGGACACACAACACAACACGGTTAGCAATCGGCCGATATGTTGGTGTTTTCTGGGGTCAATGTCGACTATCAGTCATTGATGTACATTAACGGGAAAACTACTGTTCTGTCACTTTCATTTTCCATCAAGGCTCAGATCCTGAAGCATCGTTTCTTCTGTGGCTGCTTCCTAACTTAGCTGTTAGCCGCTAGCATAGCCTTAGCCACTATGAAAGCAGCTAACATCCTGATTCGTGGAGATGGTTTGTGCTTCTTGTTCAGTTTTTGTGGGTTGTTTCTCCGCTGGAGAGACATGTCTGTTGGCTAAACCAGGTTGTTTAAGTCAATCTGACTTTAGACAGATGCTACGCTGCTCCACAGGCCTGACAGCTAGCCTCTTGGAGCTAGCATGTTAGAGCTAGCCTCTTGGAGCTAGCATGTTAGAGCTAGCCTCTTGGAGCTAGCATTAGCCTTCAGTAGAACAAGTTCCAGCTGCACTGATAGGGAAGCATTTTATGAATTAAACCAATAATTGGGGGGAAAAAAAGCAGGATATCGGCCGATTGCTAAACACAGTAGGTGCACACAGCGGTTAACGTGGTTTAAAGTGTGAACATTATAAACAGGAGGTCAACACTCAGCATGTCACCAACAAACCACTGCTTCCTCTGCAGACTCAGAGCTGGAAGAACCACAGTCGTCTTTTAGTTTTCCTGCTCTCGCATGGCGGTAACTCAACACTTTATGGATCTGAAATGCTTTCACCATGTCTTGATGTTCTGTAGTCCTGGGAAACAGACGCCAGGTTGAGCATTAATTATAAAACCAGCCTGAAACACCATGACTTCAGATGTTAAAGCAGACGACAGCTCTGCTCTATGAACAGTGAGGAAGCAGCGTTGTTGGGTGATGATGTCGGCTTTAGTGTGAACAGGTTAAAGAAACACCAGCAGAGAGTGTCATCGCGTTAAATACATTATATTAAACCATTTGATCTTGGTCTAAATTCTCCAATAAGAGACTGAAGACAGGATAGGAACCAGTTTAAGTGACAGTTTGTATGTGAGCATATGCAGCTGTAACCATCACATCACTGCAGGTAAACCTGAGGGAGACATACTGTGATTCTGCCCCAAAAGCTCCACTTATTATCACACTTTTAGACCAAATCCATAAAGAAAAACGTGGCACCAGACAGCTGCCTCAGAGAGCTTTGTACTGACGAGAACTGAGGCTGTTTTAAAGGCAAAGAAGTTTTGTTTTAGTTCGCTGCACTTTGAATAAAGTTACAAACACTAAAGGTGGACCAGCACAGATCAGCTGCTGGCGTCAAAACTTAGAAAAACACAAACTCAATCAAGAAACGCTGTCGAGAAGCTTTTATTCATGTGTCCGTTTTTCTCTTTTGGTGCCGATTGGCTGTTAATGGGGACATGTGACCAATTGGATCGTTGTGTGGGCGGGGCTACAGCTAGTGGGAGGAGCCACATCATAAAGATTGTGATAATTTGATCCAGTCGACATCAAGTCAACTGAAAACTCAAATGAAAACTATTTCTGTTGTCTGGTGTTTTTCAGCTCATCCTGACTTTCTGTTTAGTTTCTAAGATGTTTCCGCCGTCAGGACCACCTTGTCATCACCGTGAACCTCTGATGACGTCCGGCGGTCCTGCAGGAGCTTCACCGATTCATCGACAGTGGCGTCAGTCTGACTCTCTGCTGGTGTTTGACATGAAACCACAAAACAACAACAACAACACACCAGCTACACAAACCAACCCCGTGTCGACATGCAGCATGCGGCGGACGTGAAAAGAAGCAAAAGCACTACTACCAGGAACATGCCAGATCCCTCAAAGCTCTACTCTGCAGGAACCATCAGGGTATAAACGCTAAGAAGGGATGCAGCTCAAATATAAACCAGAAACTCCCAGAGGTTTGGATCCTCGCTGTGCGTTCACACTGCAGCGGCCGAAACAACCGCTCAGCTGACTGGTGCTGCTCCGTCATGAAGCAGCGGAGGAGCTTCCTGCAGCGTGAACACACAAACGAGGCTCAAGTTGTCCTTAAATACTGATTAAACAAAGACACTTGTCCAATCAAAGAGGCTCAGCACTAAAGCCAAACTGGTGGATGATTTTCTCCACGTAAAGCTGATGGACGACTTCACCGTCGCCTGCTCGGGGAAGGAAACTCTGTTGAAACGGTTTCAGAGCAGGTGACAACAGGTAAAGCTTCCAACTAGCACAGGCTCCTCCTCCCCCCGACCCGAGACAGGATGAGGCGGTGGAGGATGGAGGGAGGGAGGGAGGGAGGATCGGTGGTCAACAGCCAGTCAACAGCCAGCCGTGCGATGCTGCAGCGGGAGACGGGAGGAGGGAGGAGGAGGTCTTACCTTTACCTGAGGAGACTGCAGCTTCTGGTACATCTCCAGGGAGTAGTGATGGAGCCAGACCTCCACGAACATCTGCACACACACGTCAGGTGTTAGCTTCTCCACATCTCACTCAATAAAACCACCACAGGTCAAACCATGTATCAAAAAAAACAACTGACTAAAAGCTCGTTTCAACATGTTTTCAAGCAAAACTGTCTCTAAAATGTGTTTTCTTCTGCCTGTGACAGTGAGTCTGTCTGCTGAGGTCCACGCTAACTTCTACACGTTTTACTGCAGAATAACTTCATAAGGTGCAGATACACGTTTTGTTCTTTTCTGGTACTTAAAGGTGGAAAAAGTCAGCTCCTGTCTTCAATAATGAAGCTCGTTAATGGCAGCATGAACGTGCACATCACTGCTGAAACAAACCCAAACATTTGTTCTTTAACTTCAGTGAGAAATGTTCATCTTCACACATATTGAAGCTTGACTTTGAGATGAGTCGCAGCTCAGAGCCACGGATGCTAACACAGGTGGTTTTACTGAAGCTTCACATGCATCTCACCTGCAGCAGCGTCTCGGACCTCCAGATCTCCTGAGCCGCTGGGTCGGCGTTCACCGACGGCTGGTGGAAGATGTGGTGCTTCAGGAGGCTGGGGCTGTGGACACCATAGCCGGCGAAGGAGCCGCTGGAGGACCTGTGGGCGACAGAACACCACCTTTAACTCTCACGCTGAGCCTCGGCTGTTCGGTTTCACTCCTCTCCCACCGCCGCCGTGGTCATCACCTGGGCGAAGGAGCGGTGACGGAGCCTCTGGAGTCGGAGAACGGAGACGGAGGAACGCTGCCCTCGCTGGGGAGGAAATACTTCAGGTAGGTGTCCACCAGGACGAAGTAGGCGCTGTCGGTGGAGCTGCCATGCTGGCCTGGAGGGTAGCTCTGGAACCAGAGGAGGAACTGATCAGGTCTACGTGTGAGAGACAGCGTGGCAGCTGATTTTACCGACGACTGCTTAGACGGCGTTAATTAGCCCCAAACATCTTAAACTGTTGGTTAGATTTGAGGAAGTTTGTTCCCTTTAAAAAGCATCTTAAGCCTCATTGACTCTGTGTTCTCATTACTTCTAATGTGATTATTTGTCTTCCTATCAGTGGGTTTGCTGATGCTCTCTGTGCAGCTCTCTGCGCCTTTATGCTGTTTAAATAACTCATGTTTTCACCAAAGCACCAAACACGGTGCATCAGGACAGTTTGGGGCTTCCAGACGTCGTGGCATCCGCTACAGATTCAGGTTTGCACCACATGTAATAAAAACAGAGGAGGTGACATCTGCCAGCAGGTTTAAAGGTTCTCGTTGTGGCTGCAGGAAACTCAACAAAATGCAAAAGAGGGAAAAAAAAAACTCCTTAAAGTGCAAAAGCAAGAAAAAATGGTTTACAAAAAAAACAAAAAAACAACAACAACTGTCATTCAGTCGTTTTTTTAGGTCCTCGGCCTTTACGAGGGAACCCCGTTTCTTGTCAACATTTGAAAGTTCAGTGAATAAGTTTCACAGTTGTCAAGACAAACTCACCTTTGGCGTGATGAGACAGCAGGCGAAGTTGAACATGAAGAACTCAAACGGATCTGCGGAACATTAAGGAACAACTAATCCCAACAACAAGGTCGGTCCAGTGTTGTGAACCCGTCCTACAGTCAGACTTCTGGCTCCAACTGTTCATATCTAGTACCTAAAACCGACCCACAACGCTGTATATAACAGCAAAATACTGAAAATCATACGGTTTTAATGCACATTTTGTAGATAACCCAAAAAATGAACCTACTAGTTCATACTGGCCTCTCTCCAGCTGTCAGGGACGTTTGTCGACGTATGTTTGGAAGTAAAAGGTTGAGCCAAGAGATGGCGGTGTCAACCGCTAGCTTAGCGCTTGAAGGATACTGAGGGCGATGTTCAGGGTCAGCAGGCCGGACAGAGGAAACTGCAGCTTTTTGTGGAACAGAGGGCAGTCGGGCAGAACTCCCTCCTGGATGCAGGCCTTCACCGGACCCTGGCGGGACGCAGAGGACCAGAAATCAGGCTCAGAACCAGCTTGTAAATGCACCGTATTTACATTTAGACTGACAGAGCTGAAATTGGCTGTTAAACCAGCCTGGACAGTTTGTTGATCAGGTTTTCATTCAGTTGGAGCAAATATTAACCCTTCTGAAGTCGAATAAGGATCAGAAAGGCTTTTTTAAATCTGTGAGGTTGGTGTAAAACATGAGCTCTGATCTGAACCTGCATCGACTCAGAAACACGTTAACTCACATGAGGAGCTTCTGCGCGATTTAATGACAGAACCAGCGTTAATAAAACTGATCAGACACTTCCAGGCGACTGTGCTTCCTAAACGTTCACGTCTTGATGGACATTCTTACCGGCAGGTAGTTGACGGGGATCTCATATTTGTACTCCTCTGCCTGAAGCTTATACACGAGTTTCATCATTGGGCCGCTGAAAAATGAGATTTTAATCCAGTAAAAACAGAATTAGTTGACAGCTGGTGATGTGAATGAATCCAGGTGTGATAACGGAGGGAACCTGCGGCTACCTGGGGTTCAGGAACTCCATGGCGATGTTGTACTCGTTGCTCCGTGAGTGAAGGAGTCGCAGGTTCCAGCCGGCGATGATGCCGTCCAGGCTGCCGAACACGCTCTCCACCAGCCAGGGGAAGATCAGGTGCAGCTCCTGATGTACACAAACAAACAAACAAACGCTGGGACACATGCTCTGCCTGTGGTGACGGCACTGAAACAACACACAGGGTCAGAGGAAGACAAACACTGAGTAAACAATGGCTGGAGTCAGCTGAAGCTTCGTCTGTATTATCTACTAATGGAAGGAGCCTCTGACTTCTAAACACAGTGTAAGAGATGCAGAATTAAACAAACCCAGCAAGGTCAGGTGAATAAACTGAAATAAAGAGCAACAGAGAACAGATAAGGTCACAAAACTCTGGTTAATGCTGTCAGATCCACATCCATCCACGTTGGGTTCATTCATAACAAATCAATCAAGTTCCTGCTGTTCAGCTTTCTCTCTGTGGAGACGCTCACGTGGATCCTGCTGCCGTCTGATGCTGCAGGAGTTCAAATAAAAACCCCTCAATAGCTGGAAGCAACAAACCAAACAGAGGTTCTGCGTCTAGCAGCTCAGCTGTCTGATGTGAAGACAAGCCGTTAGATCCTGACCCACTATAATCTGCTCTCTGCGTCCAAGATCATTTCTAATTATCTGAATTTAATGGATCCTGCTGCAGGTGTTTAACAAACTGAAAAACTCCATCCAGCAACTTCAGCTCTGTGTAACGTCTCAAGGGGGAAACAGACTGATTAAAGTCATAATTGATGAGTATTATTATTATTATTTAAGCTGTTGGTGTCTGTTTTTAGAGCAGTAAAGCTTTTTTTCATTGTGTGGCCTGAAACATGTGAATATTTAGAGCAAAGTGAGCAGGAAAGGTTTTGCTCTCTGCTGGTTTTAGATGAGTGTTGGAGCTGAAATGTGGGAAAAACCTTCCCTAAATCACTTGCAATGTGAATGTTTGACATGTTAACAGACGTCAGCGCAACTTTTACAGAAAAGTGATGCACAGTCAGATGTGTTCAGGCCCACTGCACCACATCAGGAGCTACAGCCAGCGATTACAATGGAGCTACACATCAACCGTCATCCTGCTGCTCCGACTGAACAGCTGCTCACAGACGGAGCCTCGCCTGTCTGCGGAGACACCAGCGCAACAATCGTTCATTACAGCGGCCCTGGTGCTCTGATCACGTGAACAGACAAACGGTCCGGTCGTCCGAGTGAATTCAACCTTTGTGCATCTATTTCCAAATCACAGGACAAAGTTCACATTCCTCCGTGGAGACGGCAGCGAGACTGAAAGTGAGACGCAGCTGTTTGAAAGTCCAGCCGTCCACGGTGACGAATGAGTTCAGCAACACTCAGCAGCAAGTCAGTCTGCAGGGTTTAAATCTGCTGGTGTTTCTGTCCAAAGAATTTAAAACACACTCATGAAAATCGTCTTAATGTTAACACAGCTGCTGCAGAGGACTGAAGACCACATGAGTCACAACACTGATGATTTATAGCCACACGGGAAGCACAGTTTAATAGCGTTAACCCTTAGGAGGACGTTGGACAGTCAACACTCTGAGAGCGATCAGGTCTAAAATCATTCAAAACGCAAACGTATGTCTGTGACTCTCAGCTATCTATAAAACCACATTCAAAGCTCTACAACGCATCATTTAAATTAATCTAACAAGCGACTTAAGTGCATTTAAATTTACAGCCACAACACTTGTTTACAGTTTCAAACTAGTTTGTAAAGCAGAAAACAACAAATTTTCTCAGTAGCAGGAGAAACTCTGAAAAACTTGTGACTTTCTGTCGGTGCAGGACATAAAAACGGTCTGTGACACACTTATAACACATTTAATGTAACTTAAAGTCACGTTAAAAGGCAATTAACTGCATCTCGATAGTCTTCTAGTGTGTTCTGCTACATCTACAGTATTAATGTCATTTATAAAGTGTTTTAGGTTTCAGAAATGTCTATCAACGTCCCTGTAACCCTAATCTGCATAAAGATAGAAAACTAAACAGAAGTTTTCAAGATCTTCAGACACATTATAAGACTGTTTAACACTTTACTCTGCACTGTAAGACTTCTAAAGCCCAGATTAGTGTGAAACTGTTGTGATGAGTGCACCAATCACTAAACTTCAGGAACATGGATATTACACGTGAACAAACCCTTAAAGAGGAGTCCTTCCTCAGGTGTGAGCTGATGCTGTGACACTACCTCATATCTGTAGACTACGATCAGTCATCTGAACAAACATTGCTTTAAAAAGGAAAGGGTGGGGAGGGAGCGGCGACGGTACCTTCGCCGGATATTCGTCGATGATCTTCACCAGGTCTTGGCATCGCTGTAGCAGAGGTTTGGTGGTCGAATCCGCTTTGAGGTTGGCCTGGAACGACATCGCACCGCGTGAATCAGATCAGTCAGTGGGTCATAGAAGAGAAAGTTCATCCATCAACATTTAACTAGAGATCTGGTGTAAAGCAGCACAAGATCACTGCAGCAGAACTTGAGTTTAAAACAAGCACGCTGAGGTTACACCCAAACACTTTAGAGCCATTTTTTCTGCATATTCCAGTCTGAGCTTCACACAGAGACAGAAAACACACACATACAGTCATCACAGTGCTGCTGAACCAGAGTTTAGCACAAAACAGTGATTAAATACAGACTCAGGTGAAGAATGGATGCCAGTAAGACCTGGAGCCACGTTGTTCTGGGTTAGAAACAGTAAAAACTGACCAGGAGGAAGCTGGGCTGCTGTAGGGTCGGAGCAGCCATTCTGCTTCGGCACGTCCACCTGGATGCACCTGGGGCAGGTAAACACACAGCTTTAGAACATCCTCAGGTGGAGGGAGACACAGCGGAGCTCGACAAAGCTCGTGTTAGCGGGATGATGAGTGTGTGCAGTGATAATCCGACCACAATGCCTCCCATCGAGCGGAAAAGCTGCAGTCAGCCGGTGGAGCACGCAGCTAGCTTAGCTAGCAGGCGGCGGCTAACTAACTTAGCAAGCCGGCGGAGCGAGCTGAAAACCCGGCAGGGACCGCGGCGAAGAACCGAGAGGCACAGCGACACGGACACAGAGAATATTTCGAGCTTTCCTCACCGTCTCTCCGGACAGTTCGTTCAGATTTACGGCTGTTTGAGCGACAACCGCGTTTCCATCAGTTTCAGTTCAAACAGCAGAGAGCGGAGCCGCGCTTTCTTCTTCGGTGGTGTCGGACTGCAGCAGCGCGATGATGACGTCATGCCGCGTACTGACACCTGCAGGAGGAGCCGCGCTACTGCAGCCTGCCATCAAAATACTGCTTTCTGTTCAAGTATCATACTTCTAAGGTTTATTCCAACCAAAACATCACTTCCTGTTCAAGTACCAAAGGGTCATTCCACCAAAAAGTACTTCCCAACTAACAAATTGTGGTAAAAATAAAATAAAATAAAATAAAATAAAATAAAATAAAATACTGTTTTCTAACAAATGAGTTGTGGTGTCAAGGTTTATTCCACCCAAATATTACCTTGTAACACAAGTTCAGGTGTTTCAGGCTCATCCTGCTCAGTAAACTACTTCTGTCCGAGTACTTAAAGTTTTAAACGTTTATTCTACCAACATACTACTTCCTGTCCAAGTACTAAAACTTGATTCTGGTATTTTCTAACAAACAAGTCATAGTTTTAAAGGTTTGTTCCACTTAAAAGTCTACTCTTTGTTCAATGATTTATAGTTTTAAAGGTTTATTCCAACCAAGTTATAATTTTAAATATTTACTTCACCCATATATGACTTTCTGGCCAAGTACTCAAGATTTATTCTACTATAAAAGTACTTTCTAACCAACAAATTGGGCTCTTAAAGTTTTTTTCCATCCAATATACTACTTTTCTAACATATGAGTTATGATTTTAAAGTTTTATTCCACCAAAAAGCAACTGTTTACTAACAAATTATGGTTTTAAAGGGTTGTTCTACCCAAAATACCACCTTTAGTCCAAATACATGAAGTTTTAAAGGTTCATTCCAATCAAAATAGAACTGCTATCAAATAAGTTAAGGTTTTAAAGGTTTGTTCAATTCAAAACATTAGTTTTAAATGTGTATTCTACTTCCAAACTTCCTCTATACTACCTTCGATCCAAATACTAAAGTTTTATTTCAGTGCATTCTAATTAAAAAGTTATGATTTTAAAGGCTTATTCCACCAAAACACTACTTTCTATCCAACAAGTTAAATATTAAGTTGGGCTTAAGATGTATTACACCAGAATTCTCCTCTCTGTCCAAGTATTTATTGCTTTAAATATTTATTACACCAATTTATTACACTAGATTTGAGGGCTAATCCACCGGTAGTCGTTTTAAATGAACAAGCAGCCGTCCTGAAGGTTTATTATTTGATTATTGTTCTTATTATCATAGTTGTGGATAATGAAGCAGCTCCACATTCTCCACAAGCAGAAATATTGCATCAAAAACCAACATTTTCAACCCCAGAACCCCTCTGAGACCAACAGCTTCTGCTCATATCACAGATTTTGAGTTAAGTTGTACAAAGACAATAAAACACTTTGTTGTTTTTATTTGTTTTATTAGTTTGAGGCTTTATTCACAAACAGTAAAGTCGGATCTTCATCTCCAAACTTATCAGAGTTGTGAAGTTAAAAAAACACACACAGGTTTATAGAAACAGACAGAAGTCACTAAATTTTACTGGATAAAGCAAGAAAACTATCAAAAATAGAGTTCTTTCATATACATGTGTGTGACTGAGCTTCACGGCTTCATGTGCGCCTTCATGGACAAACTTAAATACACGTTTCAGTGAAGCAGTAAATCAGACAAATTAACTTATACATCACATATATATATATACTGAGTTCACGTCATGGCGGTTATAGAAGGCTGGAATATATCATTTGGGTAGAAAACGGACAAACTGTACAAGAAGAGAAGATTTTAGTTATTTCTGGTCAGTTTCCTACTTTATGGCTCTAAGCCAAGAAACAGAAACTTTAAAACCTCTAAAAACTCACTTTCTAATCTTTAAACACATAATAACGCTTCGTTTCACACATTTTATCAGAATCTCCTAAAAATCAGCTCGTTTTCACTCCAAATTACAAAAATAC